AGACTCCCAGTCAGTTTGTAAAACCAATAACCACAGTGGTTCGGCGAGCAACGTTTTACCGCCCACTCCCATCTTCAATTTTCTGGTGATGCTCAAATGCTTGCACAGGAGCAGTGGATTCGAAATAAATTTATAAACCGGGGTTTCTTGATACCTCAGCTTATCCTCTCGCATAAATTTGGCGCAAAGGTTTTTCAACATGATGTAATGATTCCAGCTGCTATCGGTTGATCATATTTTAGCTCTTGATGTGTCATCTTTTGTTCGGTTGTCAATTAGTTATACTCGTGTATTGGTTTACCAATAGGCCTGGTTATTGTTACAGCTTTTATGAAATCGGTTAGAATGTTCATGTATCTTTTTCATCAGTGGATCAAACTGTTTTCACAGAGTCGCTTGCCTCGGTGATATGAGATTCTGCATTTTTCTGCTATCAATAAAGATCCAAGTATTGCTTATCACACATCCTTTATAGAGGTGCAGTAAATGCGCTCGAAAATGAAAACGTAAGATCACTTTACCCTACTGGAGGCGCGTTTTTGACGGATTCTGCCTTATGCTGCCTCTTATCAATACCAACTTACATGTTGATGCTGTTCGGCCTGCTTGGAATCTGGTAGGCTCTCTTATATGATCATACTTTACTTTACATACTCAACATACATAATGGGGAATTTTAAATAATTAGAAAATAGCTCGGAGCTTTGTCCATAGTTTACCACAGGATAGATGAAAGTAGTTCAGTACACACAAACTCTCCCCGACTTGACCTCTGTGGCTCCTGCGATTAGGCCACATTTACTTCAAACACTTACGTAATAGGGTTTTTTTCCGCTCGTAGACAAATTCCGGTGGTACGATCGACTATTACTATTGGCAAAGGTTAAGGATTCAGGCTGGATGGATCAACTGGGGTCATCTGGTGCGTATCGATTCATGCCAATCGCCTGATATAGAACGGGATTTCACAGATATGTCTATAATTCAGTGGAATGGAATTTTAGCGCTCACCGAGGGCCGATTGAATAGAGTACGCTGTCTGCACCAAGGTAGTATTAAGAAAATCGAGCACGTTTGAACACGTGGCATTCCCGAGAAACTCATCAGAATAGAGAACTCAGTATAGAGCGTAAACCGAAGTAGACATGTCCAGAAGAGCGTGTTTTATTGTCTCCCGAAGTGAGAGAGGGTGAAGTAACACTGAATTCCGTCCATCGCAGTATGACGTCAATTAAACATGCTCATTTATTCAGAATACTGGTATTGTACTACGATATATATCGTCCGCGTAAAGGTTGATTGTGCTGACTAACAGTTTAGTAACAGTCATAACGACTTTGTGCATTCACCCATCAATGTAGGTACAAGTATGCATTATCATTGTAATGCGGCCTTAATTCGATCCACTGGTGACTAAACCTTTTGTTCACCTCATTCGAAGCAGACCGTTCCCGCTTGGCTGGTTGGTTGAGTCCTCTTTGCACATCAGTTTTAGACATAAAATATTGATGTCCCTTTGGTCGTTAGTTAAATTTTATTTGTTTGTATACTATTCATTCATTAACCTGATAAAAGATGGTCGCCAGTCTCGAAGTTTTCCTCTACGTAATCTGTTTTCAGTGGTTCCTTAAAGTATTTTGCTGTGTTCTACCTTCTCTGTCGATGGAACGCTTCATAAAGAACATATAGTTGGATGCAGGAGACGGATGCTTGTACTCAGTGACTGTCGTGTTTTATGCCCACTCGTGTTTAGCGGATTTCGTCTTGCCCCAAATGTATCTGGTTTTCACCAGTGAAAATGTAATTTCTTGAACTGTAACATTCCCAGCTACCTCATTCCCTGGAGCCGCAACTGCATTTGCGGCTCCAGGTTGGAAGATATCACGTGAATGTCAACAGGTGACGTGGAGACGAGGTACGGAGAAATGCACTGAGCGGTTAGGTAGAATAGGTGTCTATTACCTTCAGAGTTAGGGTCAAAAATTCTCTGCAGCTCCTTGTTTGGAGACCGGAAGATATGACAACTAACCAACAGCAGTGGCGTTCTTGTTGTCATTTCTCATCAGGTCAGAATGCTTGAAGAGGTATGTATGCACAATTAGGTTGTGCACTCTGTGTTGACGATAGAGGTTCACTTTCTTTTCCGCCCTCCAATTAGACCTGATCCCCTTTCACCTGTTATTTTCTCACTTGATTTGTGTACATTGTGAGCCTGGTAGCGATCAGCGAAGTTCGCTTCACGTATCTCATACGATGATGATGATGATAATGATCATGATCGTTCCATGGGATGCTAACCAAAACTATTTAGGTTCTCCGCTTTTGTAAAAAGTTCTAATTAGGCTATGTGCTTTCTCCTGAAACACTACTCACCCTAATCCAATCGTTATTTGTCCCAACGCATTAAAAACTGACTATCTACATCCTTCTCAGTGATTTATTGTGTGTAGCGTTTTTCAAATTACTGTCCTATGTGACATCCAGTTTGCTTATTCGATCATTTCCGTATCTCTGATTTTCTCGTTTCCAGCTCTGTATCAGACCCACGGGATTCCAGTTATTAGTATTGATTGGATGCTAAACTGTATTTCTTTGTATCGACGTATCCCTATCAGCCCATTGTACCGTATCTGTCCATCCCCTGTGCACAATCCACCAGCCCCACTGACTGCACATAATGCTCATCGTTGATTCTCTCTCTCTCGTTTTAATCTAACCAAATAATTGAATTCAATTTGCTGCTTATACTCTGTGTAAGAATCGATCTTCCTGCTTTACATAACGCTATGTACGCCTGTTTGATTTATTTCACTGCTCTACTCTCTCTCTCTCTCTCTCTGTCTCTGTTCCCCTTCCCTCACACGTTCTCGAAAAGTGGGACTATTTTGCTTGAACTGATTTTTGTCAATTTTCCATCATCTGCTTGTGATGATGATCCATTTTAATTTTTTTTCTGTGCATAAATTACTTTAAAACATCATTGTTTTTTTAACTTCTTCCTGGAGGAGGTCGCACTCATATGTGAATTAGCTTTTCCATCTCCCCTTTGATTTTATTTATCGATCCTCGTCCACCTGCATCTCCTCCATCAAGAACAACGTGGCTATTCGTCATATGCGCTGGCCTCTTCTTAGTGCACTATTCTTGCTGATTTATTCGTATTTTGTTCACATGCTCCTGTCGATTTAGAAACCGGACCAACTAAACAAGTTTAGTCGTTGCAACATCTGACTTGCTCCCTTTTTTAGAGACTGTTTTCGCCGTTCCTTTGGTCGATCAATGTAGAAAAATATGAAATCAACTGGAGCGATGAGAGCGTCTCACAATGACTCACAGACGAGATTATTGCTGATTGAAATGGATGAAAACATGAGCACCACTGTTTATAGTACAACCACACCCCCTACTGATCATCAGGCTTATCCCAGAGGCCTCTAACTGGATAACCTAGTTCATCGTGCACGACTACCTTCGTTGTTCCATGCTTTTCAACACGTTAAGGCTGATGGCTTGCGTGCCTCCACAACTCAGCAAGTTGAATAGCTTGGCACAGCTACAGACCGGATCATGTCAATGGTTAGGGTCTACATGGAGTTCTCTCTCTCTCACTAAGTCAGCAAATTAAGCGGTTTCCGTTGATCATCCACTTTCGTTGTATCAGCAGATAAACACGGCAAGAATCAGTTAAGCAATAAACGCCCGGTGGGATGGACGTAAAAACGACGAAACTAAGCTTTTCAACGGTAGGATAAATCTCTTTACTTCACTGAGCAGCTACCGCTCACCCAGACTGAACAGCCCCCAGACAATACGGGATTGTCGTTAGGCGAAAAAAAATAGCCGATATGCAAATGTTTCCAAAGCTATCCATTTCCGGTATTACAGATGGAATGGAGCTCCTGATCGACGATAGCACTGTACAAATGCCAAGTTGAAATTAAGATTCCGAATCAAACGTTTATTTCGCTGCCAGCACTCCGCGTGAACTCCTGGTCGTGATTGTGTGACCGTGTTCCCATAAAGGCGATGTTTTGTGGATTCACGAATTTGTTCTCTTGTCATCGAGGATGGCAAGTAGTGTGCCACATTTGGTAGATTTGAAAATGCGTTTATCCATACTGGTCGTATGTTTCGTTTCTGGTGCATACGTTAGCTAAAGGTTGATTGGGCAAGCGTGCGCTCACCCCGTTGCCGGCGGGACTCCGATAGTTAGATGCCAAACACAAAACGAACCGTAAGGATATTACCCAGTCCGAAGGAGCCTCTGGAATGCGTTGGAGAGAGAACGGATGTTCGCAAAATGCGTTATCAAAGTTCAGAGTCGGTCTGCAACTGGAACCGGACTATACATATATTTAGTTGCAATCCCCGGGAATAAAAAATACTTCGATCTACTATGGGATCACCGAAGTGTATATTTGCATAAACAACAGCAGAATTCGCCCAATACAACTATGCAAGTGTATGCATATCAATAGGGATTTCAGTTGTCCAGATAACCAGTAACGTATGCACTGGGAGCAAGCTGCGACTGACGTCTGCTGAAATGAATGGGGGTTCTGAACGGAGAGGAATCTGCCTGGATCAAAACAATTTGTTCGTGGGAGAGTTCAGATAAAGTAGGAACGAAATTATTTGCAACATTTCGTTTGTCTGGGTTTCTCGGAGGCGGTCAGTTTGAGGTGTGGTCGACGGAGGTTATAGTCTTCTTGGGCACAAAGTAACCTGTCGGAAAGAAAAAGAAACCAGCAGTTTAAAACGACTGGGTGATCGGGAGTCACGATGACAGCATAGTTGTTTCATTTATATTGGAATTCATCATCAGCCCAAGTCAAACGAACTGTTGATGCCTAGAACCAAAACTTGTGCTCCAGGCTTCCAAAGTTGATTTTAGCAGTTCGTTTCACCCAAAAACTACACGATATTATCATCCGCACGTCTACGTCCTACGATGTAGTCAGACCGGCCGCTTGATGCACTGCGGTCACCGCAACTGAGCACACAATGTCGAAGAGATGGTTGTGTTACTTGTTGCATTTGAGTAGCGAGATAATATACATCAAAAATAGCAAATCGTGTTTGTCAGACACGAAGACAACCGGAATAAATGGGATGCGCTGTGCGGATGATTCCCAACGTGGATGGTGTCATCACAAAGAACGGGGTGCACCTAAACCAAACTCTGAATAGCAAATAAATACTGTAAGTGGATTTTTTTTCGTGTGCAAAGAGCACAGCAAACGAGGACTGAGAAGCACAGAGGCAGTATTTAGCTCATTCCATCCCGTTGGGTCTTATCAGCTGTGCGAGTCCATCGACCCGACGGCGGATCGCAACTAACATCTCACAGAAAGCAAGCATGCTAATGGTTAACTCGGCATCAGACTGTTGCACTTTCTCTAGTGAGCGGGTAATAGCTTTATGCACCGTGTTATGCTAATTCTCCACGTGTTTGTACCATATCTTTGGATATACATTGCACAGAATCAGGAAAAGTAAAGTTCAAATCAATCAGAAAGCAACTTTTGTTATCGATGCAAGCAATTAGGCGCGTCTGGGGAAATGTTCTGTTTATAAGTAAGCAAACATACTAGATATGGTAGAACAGATTTCCAATTCGCGGTGTTACGATCAAATACAGCTTTTAAATTCGAGCCTGTGTGGAAGATGTGGAAACAGTCTTTTAAAGTTCATCAGGTAATGGATAATGAGCAAGTTTTAGAGTTGAATTTTCCCATTCATTTACATATCTGCCAATGGCTTTCACTGCTACCCTTTGCATTTTCAGGTTTGTTATAGGGATCTTATAGCCAGGTGAAACTTGTATAAATGACGGAAGAAAATTACTGGAAAGCAGTAAAACCAATGTGGGAGTGTTCATACAGTCAAGTTTAGTAATCACCTTGTAAGGGATAGAATATGTTTATCCAAAGTGGAGAGTGTTGCAGTTTTCGAACTTGAATGTGCATGAGTTGTGGTTAGTTATGTTAGTGTAACACCACTGTCTGCATCTCAAGGTGACACAAGGAAATAGGAAGGACAGTGGGGGAGGGGCACAAACCTGGTTAATTCGGTCACGCATTCTTCCACGTTTAGCCCAGTTGCCGCGCTCGTTTCAAAGAACAAGGCTCCGATTTCCTACGGTGGAAAAACAATTCAAAGACTCTAGATAGCTCTAACAGGCATTTTTCATAAGATACGCATTGCGAAGAGAACGGGGTGGTCAACGAGAAATTCATTCATGGTGATAATGACCTTTCATCATATGGATTGTATGAATGACGGCGGATGCACACAGTTGTTCATCCCAAGTGATGAACTATACAACTTTTACCGTTAACAGTGAATGCATTCGGGCACAATGGGATTTGAGTGCAGTCTGTATTGAAGATATGCCGAAAATATGATGGCACTGCCTGAGTTTGCGAGCTTCTCTGGCTATTTCAGAGTGCGCTCTCGGTTTCATTGGCCAAGCTGCTTGAAACGCTTGGTGCATTATACACAAACAATGTGCCATAAAACGTTAACTGTGGAAACGAGCGCTCACCTGAGCGGATTTTCTTCCGGCCGCATAACTAACACACTGTGCTCCTTGTTTCTCCCGTTGTTCCCGAAGGTCGACTTTGTTCCCGATTATTACCACGGGCATTTCCCGCCCGGCATTTTCCTGCAAGCAATCATTACATCACATTGTTTTATACTTCAACCTCCAATTGAAGAGATGTGCATTCATTATAGAGTTTATCAAACTGACTTGTATAGTAATGATCCAATCGCGAGTGTTTATGAATGAAAGCTCAGAAGTACAATCGTAGACGAGAATAATTCCATCTGCTTTTCGATAAAACCCGGATGAGAGACTTCGGAATCTGTAGTGAAAACAGAACGAGGTGGATGTGGTTTAGTCAAGCGTGGACGCATTCATTATAATACAGAATGTTTCCATAATATATTTACAGATAAAGAGATACTCTAAATCAAAGAATTCGGTGTTTACTAATTATGTAGCTGTCTACTCTAAGATTCTGCATCTTTGAATGAACTTAGGGGGAATAAATTGGGTTTCTTGAAGCAGTAATTGCCTACACTAGCCAGCGAATATTAGCTCACTCGGTCACCAGTTTGATGTCAAAAGAGGAAACTTAGAGTATTCTTGGTTAAGCATACCGAAACTCGTGTGCTAAATCAATTTTTTGACATATATCCGCATACCACGTAAGGATCAATTGCTTATCCGAGTGATAAGTTTCTTGTTTAATGGTTCCCTCCCACTGACTTCCGAGAGACGGAAGCAAGTTTTAAGGTCATCTGGATGAGACATGTAAGTTCATCTGCAGTGAAATCATATAGTGAATCCCATATTCAACCAACATGACTCTTCGATGACTGTGAGCATATTAGTTCGATGAAGTTCTGCGTTTCAAAATTCAAATTTTTATTATGGGTAAATCACAAAGCTGATGCTTACTTAATCCCAAAGGGTCTGTACACACTGGGTTCGGTTGGTGGTACAACTGAATACAAAATTCTGATGTTCACTCATGGGTACTGAATAGTTAGGTGGTTCAATGCTTCATCCAGTCGTGACTTGAATGAGTCGATGGTTGGTGCTCAAACAACTTGAGGTGGAAGAGAGTTCCAGGTGTTACAAGCTCTGAGGCTGAAAGAATGACACCCGCAGTCGATCAGGC